GGCTCCCAGGGCCTCTTGCATTCTTCTTCCCTGGCGGAGGTTGGCAGGAGCCCGTGGCAGCTGAAAATGGAGCTCAGGAGCCTGTTTTCGCTGGTAGAAGCACTGCGGGCCGATCCTTCATTGTTTCCAGAGCAGCCCCGTGGGCCAGATCTAAGTACCCTGTGGGCCGGGTCTGGTCCCTGGGCCTTGAATTTAACACCCTTGGTATAGGGCCATGATGGCAAACCTATGGCATGCGTGCCACAGGTGGCATGCAGAGCTCTCTCTGCAGGCACGCCAGCCATCACCCCAGCCCAGGTCCACCACTCATGTGTGCGTGCCTCCCACCGGCCATTTGGTCTTCAGGTTTCTGCCGCGCAAGTGCGGGGCGAGGGTGGGCATTCTTTCACATCTCCGTAGTTCCCCACCAGCGCACCCTACCTTTCTCCCCCAGCGCCCTCTACCTTTCTCCTGTATTCCTGCCTCCTATGCCTCCCCCGATCTCTGCAGGTTCCACACTCTGCAGGTGCCTCTCCATGGCAGGAATGGAGGAGAAAGCTAGGACGCACTGGAGTGTGGGGGGGAGAAACTGCAGAAATCACAAGGGCCTCTCCCCATGCCCCGTTTTGGGCCTGAAAAGCCTCCTGCACCAACGTGGAAGCCAAAACGGGTTGGGGAGACATACGCACAGGGAACATATGTGCAGGAAACACATGCACATGTGTGGGGGCAGAGCTCATGTGCGGGTGGGTGCTCGCATTGCATTTTGAGGGTTGCATGTGTGCTGTGGGCACTCAACACCAAAAAGGTTAACCATCACTGATATAGGGCCCCCTGCTTGAGGAGGGGAACATCCAAGATCCCTTCCAGCTCTATTCTGACTAAAGATTAAAGTGAAAGTCTCTATTCTCATCTCTGCTCTTTGGATCCTGCCCCCCAAATCAAGAGTAAGGATCCTACCTACACTTTCTGATAATTTCACAGTGCGACAGGAATGTCCACTATAGCCTGACCAACAATCAGGACACTGAGGTGAAGACCCCAACCCCTCAAAGACTGCTTACCTCTACCATAATATATGAGACATCCTGTTGCACTTTGTGCAATATAACATGTAGTGAAGCAACATTTTAGTAATGACTTATTATGCCCTAAACCAAACATTTTATAATTATGATAGAGAAGATTTCCTGTTACCGCTTCAGTGTTTATTTGTACTTACCAGTAACTGGGGCATCTATATCCAGCAAATTTTTTTCCTGGCGCAGAATCGAAGCACCCTCTGTTATTATTCTCAAAGCAACACTTTCTTCCAGCCTTCCTTCCTTCATAAGGTGTGCCTTTAGGATATCCACTCGGGGTTTTCCATCATTGTCAAACACTTCCTTCGCTGTGAGCCGGTGGCTTGGAGGAAATGGGACAGCTGCAAGAACAAAGATAATGGATTCAATGCACCAAGAAAACCCCTTGGTCTCAATAAAAAGCAATGTTTTATCTCCATTACTGATCAGTGCTCTGGCTTCCAAAAAGGCTTTGTACTTACTAGATTGCAATGCAGCAAAGTATTTCCTGATGCTGTTAGCAAGCTTCTTAAGAGCTATGTTGCTATTTCTAGCAATTACTTGCAGCTAGCTAATTTCCCCACCCTAAAAAATATATATCAAGCATTATGGATCTTATGGATTTTTTTTTAAACGATGAACATTTCATCTGAATATAGTTTATAAAAGAGGAAGAAGAGGAAGAGGAGGAGGGAGAAGAAGAAGAAAAAAAAGAAGAGGAGGAGAATGAAGAAGAGGAGAAAGAAGAAGAAGAGGAGGAGGAGGAAGAAGAGGGAGAGGGGGAAGCGGTTGAGGAGGAGGAGAAGAGGAGGAGAAGGAGGAAGAAGAGGAGGAGAAGAACATCATGGCTTCAGAATCTAAAGGACTGGTTTGGATAAAACTCAGCAACGTTTTGTTGATAAAAATAGGATTGCCAACATGATTGGCAACATTCAATGATGGATATGGGAGGGGGAGGAAGAGGAGGAAGAGGAGGAGGAGGAGGAGGAGGAGGCAGGAA